GGCGGATAAGTTAAACTTATTTCTTTCGTCTTCCTTTTTTATGAGATCATTTAACAGCTATGAGTTGTTCATTAATCCTAGGCTAGACAGTGTTATTCATAATTCCGGATTTTCTGACTCCAAATATTCATTATTCATTTTCGTTTAAACCCCATTATTCATTATTCATTTTCAGTTTCCACCCCCGACCCCAGGTTAGGCTATTTTTAACATTTTACGAAAGTGAATTTTTTTTTTATTCCTCTCTCCATCACATTTTTGAATCCAAAAATTTTAATTATTTTTTTTCTGTCATCGTGGCGAAGTGGCAGTTTTGCATCACCCGAGTAGCGCAGCTGATGAAGTACCCCTCTGCTAAGCGAGTGGACGCTGGTTTGAACCTGCCCAGCAGAGCACTAACTGACTAAGATCTTTCCCGGTCTTTCCCGTTTTAACTGCAGCAGAACTAGGTCAGTCGGTAGATGGTCCATTATTGCAGTCTGAGTCACTGAGAAATGAAGGTATTCCCTTTGCCCTGCAAACGGCCAGACCTTTGTGTGGCTGGATTGTCCGTGTAACACGGCGTCAAGTTAGTGTCCCGGCTCAGTTAGTATTTTCGTGCTATGTACATGAACACTCAAAAGTGCCTTTTTTAATAGTAGGAGGAGGTGTAAGAGCCCTCACCAGTGTTGCTCGAAAAAATGGAGGAAGTATTTAAACTTTCAAAAAGTGAGCCCCATTTCGATTAGGATGGGACCGAGTGTTCCGCCTAATCTGGAATGTTAACTTTGAAATTTCGAATTCAAGGAGCAAAATCCATCAAACCCTGTGAATTTTTTCTTGCCTCTATCAGACAAATTTTGTTAGAGAAGATATGTTAGTCACCGAGAAAATATTTCGCCAAACAGCTCGTAAACAAAATTCCCTGGAGTTGCTTTAGGCATGCAATAATCAGGATGAGAAGAGTCGATCGCTTGATACTCGCTCATGATGCATGCAAGAAACCTCCATGTCTTTTTTTTTATTTGGAATGAATGAATTTATGATTTTGCATTTCCTAGCTGGGATAATTGTTAGTAGCCACTTTTCTGACTCGCTTTATCATTGGCTACTATTAAGAAGTTTTGAAATTTTACTTGGTAAAAACTGACAGGTTGAATTACACTGCTCTCTACATAAATTTAAGAAAGCAGTTGTTTCTCATATTTCAGAATCAAAATGGGATTGACAAACAAACGCTTGACGATGAATTATGTTTATGGTTTTAATAATGAAGGCACAAGATATCTTATGCAAGAAATTCCAAGCAAAATTTAGAACACAACCCGCATTCAACGATCTATCAAAGCGTTTCATATTTTGAGAACTTAGATATCCAAACTTATCAAAAAAATTTAAGAAGCAAGTTTCCTAAAAATAGAAGCAAGATCGAGATCCGTCTTGTCATTTTCTTAACTCTGTTATTACTTCCTTGTACAACAGGTGACTGCTGCGAAGTTGGGGCCCTGAACAACTCCACCGGTTGACGGCATTGGACTCCTCCATTTCACTTGACGAACGTTCTCTACATAATCAGGTGGTGTGCTTGTGTTTTTCTTGATATCTCTTAGTCCCTGCAAAAATATTCTGCTTGAGATTTTTGGTTTTGAAACTTTCCTTTCTATTCCAGAGATCTGTGGATTAAATGATAAAAGGCGCAAACTTTGTTTTCTTTTAAAAGAGAGGATAAAACATTATATATTATGTTGAAATGATGATGTGAAATTCACTGATCAGTTGGGGAGACATACTTTCACGGCAAATGTCAATCTTAGGTTAAAGATTTTCTCAAATTAGGAAATTGGGGGACAAAAACTGTCCAAACAATTCCTATTTTGTATAACGGGCGTAAAAAAAAATTTTGTTTGTTGTAGATATAAAAAACAGCTCACAGCGAGTTAAAGGAAATCTTCAGTGCTCGCGTGATGAGCACTGTAAAGGTGATTCAGCATTTTCACATGACATCATGGCAGCCATATTAGTGTTCTAGAACACACTGGAACGGCGGCCATGTTTGTGTTCCAAACTAATACTGTGGGAGTTGAACTCTTTTCTTATATGTAAACACTTTCTTTTGTTGCAATTTATTTGCATAGCGGCTGGACACGTGAGTGAAAACTGCTCTATTGACAACTGGTCTGCAAGAATATAAACTTCTTCACCAACTCTCACTGGGTCTTACTAAAATCTTTAAATGTTCTTTTCTTTTGATTTTTTCCCACGACCTTGCCTAGGATTTCATGCAGTTCAATTTTGAAACTGTATTTGCAGTAGCCGCTGTTTCTAACCATATCAAAGCATAATGTCCAGTTTGTAACACCAAAGTCTAAAAACAAAAGCTGTAAGGAGACCCCCCACAGTCAAGGAAAAATTATCGCTGTTGGGCAATTCCACATGAGACAATGAAATTTTGAAGTTTTTAAAATAAAGTTTTGCACAATGAAACTTAACCAACAGAAAGCTGAAACAATGGGCCGTTTGAAATTAGTGAGATCTTGTGTGTCTTGTCCATGTGCTTAATGTGAGAAGGCATGAAATCCAGAGAATTTGAATCTCATTATATTTGGAATTTTTGGAAGGAAATTTTAAACAAAGTTTGAACATCTAAGAAAACATACAGTTAACATAAAAGTATGTGTGTATTATAACCTTTGCCTTACACTATCATTAGGCTATAAATTATTATCCAGCTACTGGCACTTTCCCAAGAAAATTGACATTGAATTTTTGTTGCGGACATTACGTAATGTCCGCAACGTTAAGGTACCTTTTTTCAGTTCCTGTACACAGTGTGCTGTATTTTCATGTGCTATTGATGCTGCTCAGTTAGTCTGATCGATGTATACTCTATTTTAATCTCAAAACATTTCCGGGGGGCGTTTTCTTTGCTCAGAAATTATACATTGAAAAGTGTTGCGGACATTACGTTGCGGACATTACACATGTTAGATTTTTCATTTATTCAGGCTGTTGTGGATATTTAGTTCTTACTATCTCTGAATTAGATTCAGACAACAGCCCACTTAACACTAAATTGCTTTTTATTGATCATGTACAAATGTAAGTGGCAAATTAAAAAGAGCTGGTAGCTTTTCCGTAAAATGTCCAATGAATTTAATTTACAAACTATTTAACATTCTAAATAATTTACGATTTCTGTGATATTCTTGAAAATGGGCAAACATAGTGATTTTCAAATTAGTTCCTTCCATAAAGTAGTATAGATGCACGACGAATTTTGCAGTACTTTAACAGAAAAACAGAAAAATATTTTAAAGAGTTTATATGGTTTTGGGGGATGCTGTCACAAAATTACAGAGTGACATTTGTATGGATCTTTAACTGTGTTTCAAGAGTCATAACTTGATCCCTGTTCAACTTTAGAGCACCAAACCTGCTCAACCAACCAATCTCAACATGACCTTTTATATGGTGGTGTCAGTTTATCGATTAGTTTAAATTTGAAACTTGCCCCAGTTCCCTATGCAACTCCAAAATGGCCAATGAGTAGCTGGTCAGGGGTTTTGTACTGCTATAATCCGTAGCGAGCAATTTCCATGCGCTTGTGTCATGGCGTTTTCACGGACCAGTTTATTTTTAGAATGCTTGTGGCACGAATTTTTAATATCTGGTAAATTCCACAAACCAGTCAGCAAAACCTACAGACCTAGAAATGACATTTTTTGCCTTTTAATAACATTTAGTTTTCCTTTTTGATATCTTATACTTTAAATGGGCTCATAGACTTGTTGGAGATTCTATTTTTGCAGGAAAAAGTGCCCTAAAATGTGTCTAGATTTAAACTGGTCCCTAAAAACGCTGTGACATAGGCCTAGTATGGAAATTGCTTGCTCCGGTTTATGGGCTCCTGCTTATTATAAAAATCCTTTGCCTCTCACCTTAGATCTGAGTCACAATGACCAATGTACACTTGTTCATCTCACTCTTGTTTGTGACAACTATATCTCATGCTGGTAAGTCATATTCCAACTCGTTATAACTCTAGTTCACCCCCCCCCCCCAAAAAAAAAAGGAATTTGCATAACATTGTTCAGAGCGTTTACACATGATGTCACGGTGGCCATGTTGGTGTTCCAAACCAATCCAGTGGTAGTTGAAGGCTTTCTTTTGTTCCAATAATTTTGCATTGATACTAGCCATGTGAACGAAAAGGCTTTATCATAGATCATAGTCGTCCCAAGAGAAATTGAAGACAATGCCTATGTTTTATGATGGGCAATGTGAAAATGGTGAATTCTTTGCATTCTTTATTCGATTTTGCATCCGAACTTCATATATGATCAGTATGATTTCACTCATGTTACAAATTGCCATTTTGTTCTCACTTTGGGGTAACAATTCCAGATTTGTACAAGCCCTGTAATTACTGTGTGACTTCTGTAACTGGGTCCACTTAGAGAAAGTTGACCAATCGCATTACATGAAAATAACAATGTATTCCGAGAAAATTGGTTGTGGGCCAATCACCAGTTGGTAAAAAAGAAACAAACAATAAGTCACTCGAAATAAATAATTATTATTATAATTATTTACTTATATAGCACTATATCGATGAAAATAATGCCCGATAGTGCTTCACAGAGATAAAACCTACCTTACAATACACAGTGGCTTACAATTAGACTCTATCTAAGTTTTAAAAAGGCCAGAAAGAACAAAATTTACAACTAGTATTATTAAAAACTATAACCTAGAACTAAGAAAAGGCTAGTAAAAACAAAAATTTACAACTGTTTAGAAATAATTAAAAATTTAAATCTAGAAAAGGTGAATAAAAAACGGATGTGTGGTAGACTACCAGCTGCCGGGCAGAAAAGAGGTTTTTCAATGTGCTCTATCTGGTGTTGTTTATGAAACCGACTTGTACCCATCCCTTCTCGATTTGAAACAAGGAAATCGCAGAAATTTATCGTTAGAGACAAAGATCACTTTACTAATTTTAATTTGTTCATTTTTCGATAGCTTTACATTGCCCTCATGGTTGGACTGAGTTTCAACGTTCTTGCTACAAGGTGATGCCGCAAACTGAAAATTCCAAGATATTCGGCGGTTGGTTAAAAGCGTCGCGCGCGTGTATGGGGTATGGAGGTTATCTTGTTAGCATGACAAGTGAAACGGAAAAGGAATTTGTACAAAATCTGTCGTCGTCGGATTTAAAAAGCCCGCAATCTGCTTGGATTGGGTTGGTTCATCGACTGCCGAAGGGTATATACTCATGGATCGATGGAAGTTCTTTTAATCATTCTTTATCCGTCGAGTGGATTGGAAACACAACAAGTAAGCTTAATGGCAATGAGATCAAATGTGTGGAACTATTGAGAGATGGCTGGAACCTTACTGAATGTTGCAAGAAGACCGAGTACTACATCTGTGAAAGACCGAAAGGTGAGTTGCTTCTAAATACGTAAAGAAAGTAACCAGGCCTATATACGAGGGACAACAATGCCTAGAAATATTTGCCAAAAGGATTTGATAAAGCCAAATTAATTGCTCCTTTACAATAATGAATTCGTTGATGTTTACAAAAATCCGTATTAATGCAACTTTTGTAAAGTTTTTTTTAATAAACAAATTTCGCTTTCATATGCTTTTGCAATGCTGAAGTATTTGATCTAATTTTTTCGCCAATGCGAAACACTTTTCTACCGTGCTGGATAAAAACGTTTCAACATGTTCACTTAGAGCCTGAGCTATTGCTCTGGTTGCCTGAATTTCAGCCGTGTTCTCGAGTTGCAAACTCCCGAAAGAGATCCTTCTCCCTGTCTCGAACCCTGCTGCCTCTCTCCTCCGTAAAGGCTCCCGCTGGGTATCCCTATAAAATACAAAAAATAGAAAGCGCGTGGAAACGATGGGCCCGGTGGAGGGGGGGACTCCGCCTATGAAATGGGTGGGGATGCTCGTCGTCTCGCTTAAGGGTGTAAGTTTCGGATTTTGGTCTCACTTAGGGTGTTCTGGGCAAAACGCAATCATATTTAGCCGTGAAGGTCTCGATTAGGGTTGCACGCGAAAAAATATAAAAATATATATTTGATATGTATATTTTTTTCGTCTCTTTTAGGGGTCAGAAAACGCTTGGGCCACGCCCAGATCGGTCTCCTTTAGGGGTTTAATTCAAAATTTCCGACGAGCATCCCCACCCCTTTCATATGCGGAGTTCCCCCCGCCCCCGGGTCGATGGGATGGATGCGCGCTCTCTTTTTCTTTCTCCCCAGCCTCTCCCCAGCCTCCCCACAACACAAAGAGGCCCCTACGGGGAAGAGAGTCTAGCCTGAGTATCAGGCGTTTCTGGGGAAAAGGGGAAAGATTTAAAATCTTCTCTCCCCTAGCCCGTTAGGAAGGCCTGATACTCAGACTAGAGAGAGCCCTGCTGCCGAGGGAGACTTGAGAAAACGGCTGAAATTCTTGCAGGCTCTGAAGCCAGTTGTTCTCTATCCGATGGATAGTGTGACTGGTTGAGTTATCGACTGCATAGTTACAGATTTTATTAGGAATAGAAAGATAAGGATCTATGAGAAAGATGTTTTTTTATTCGTAGCAAAGGCAGCTCGAGAGAAAAAACTCTGAGTAGTCCAAAATGCTGTAGAACCTATGAGCTTCTGGTTGCTAGTACAGATGCTCTAACACTGAGCTACAGGATACTTGTGAGTGCTAAGGCCACTAAACTAGGGTCATGTGACAAACCAGGGGCACTTAGCGAATGTTTTCTGCAAAATATCTCCTTCGGAGAAGCAAATATTGCCTAAAATTTTCTGTTACTTGGGGACGGCTAAAAATTTCTAGTTGAATGTTCCATTCATGTACAATTTTCTAAGCTTGTCCAATAAATTCCCTAAGATCTTCTGACGTTAAATTTTTCACATTTCACTCCCCAGGCTAGGCTATTTTTCATAGAAAAAAAACCTACAATTTCGGATCCAAAATGTGATGGGGAGGGTAATCAGAAAAATTATAACTCTCGTTATACGTTAAATCGCTTTTAAAATTTTCGGGAAAATAACATACTGAAGCCCTTGTAATTTGGAAAGATTCACGTTCCCCTGGGATGATCGAAAAGATAAAAATTTTTATAGCGCCGCTTCGGAATGCACTTATAAAGGTCTAAAAGTGCTCTGGATAGCCAAAAAGTGTTGTCAACCTATTTAGGAAACCGTCGTTGGGTGCCCCTGACAAACATCCTGCATACTTCAAGGACTGTAATCTCGATATGTGCTTATACGTAATGATGGAGATGTGACGGTGAATTTTAAGCCTGGTGAATACATGAGAAAGATATTTTTCAGTCACTAGGGGACACAGGCGGCTCTGAAAATTAAACGACATTCATTTTAAACTGTTATATTTAATTTGTCCTATCCATTAGGTCCACTGAGTTGCCCGCCTGATCATTATGAAGGACATCTGAATGGATTATCTTGCTACTATAAGCACAGCACTTTAAAAACGTGGGAAGACGCAAAAAAGGACTGCACTGCTTCTGGAAGCAATTTGGTGAAAATAAATAGTACTGTAAACAAAACTGACACGGGATTCCTGACCCGCCTATTGGACACTATTAATTTCAAAGAGGTAGCTGAATTAAGTAAAAGTGACCAAAAAACAGGTAGCACTATGAAATAAATATGGATATAAAAAAATATAGTATTTGTCAATTACTGAATAAAGCTGAGTATGATAACAACAATTATGCAGATCGAGGAGGGCTATGACCCTGATTGAATTCGTTGGTTTTTTCCTATATCTCTCAGATAAACTTCTGCTGATTATGAGAACATACACGGGAAATTGATCAGCCAATCAGAAACGATGTATTTTGTAGAGGTACTAAATGCCTCTAAATCTTTACCTGTTAGCATACCCTACTGAGAACCTATACACGCAGAGGATAGAGGGACGCCTTATGACATGTTATAATCAATCACCGACTAACTAGCATGAATGTGGACTCAACCGCTGTTCAGTGATAGAAACAGATCCTAGACAAGCTTCGCATGATGTTCTAGGACTGCTCATCCCTGTTATCAGGCCTTATTTTTTCCAAAGGTGCTTAGTGCTTAGCTATTCACCTTTTGAAAAATTAGAGCCAGCCAGGGGACAATGAAACGTCGGTGGCTCAGGGGAAAGAAACGGAAAGAACTATAGTTAGTACATCATCATCATCATCATCATCATCATCATCATCATCATCATCATCATCATCATCATCATTACTGATATCATCCGTTAGTTGCTGATTTGCTCTTTTATTTTAAAGGACATTTGGATCGACCAAGGAAACAAATCTAAACTATGTGGCACAATCTCGAAGACAGATAATAGAAAGACAGACCGTGACTGTGGCAAAACTCATGCTTATCTTTGTGAAAAGCCCGTCCCAGGTGTGATTTCATTATGGTGGCACACTTCCATTTTAAGGCTACGAAGTAGCTTTAATTTAAAACAAATGAGGAAAGCAAGGTCTTCTTATCATTATTTTCATATAAAATTTCACCTCGGCTTTTTACCCCCGTCAAAAACAGCACAAAACCAACGGCATCTCAGACCCTGCTCGGATAAAAAGAAGAAAAAACGTTTCTGTTGCCTATGCTTCTTATTATGAAAATTCCTTTTCAAACAATCAGTAAGATTGGTATCTGAGGGTACTTGCTAAAATGGCCTATATGGGGAGGCTCCGCCAGAAAGAGGTGCCTTTTTCAGGCTTCAGGTATATTAAAGGGTAGGGGTTACTCTTGTTAAAGTATATAAAAGTCATTGCGGTCCCAGGCGCATTTTATGGCTGTGAAAAACACAAGAAAACTGTCCGATTTAGCGACTTGTTCATAGCTTAAAGCAGGGCTCCTGTTTAAGGGCCGTACATTTACAGCAGTTAAAAAAGATGCAGCTTTCTAAATTGGCATGTAAAATGAGTGCTATTTGTCAATTAAAGATATGCGAAAGAGGTCCCTTTTTTTGTCAAAAATTGGCAAAAGGGTAAAGGGTTGCACCTCGGGGCGGAGCCTCCCCTTATGAAATTTTGTTGAGTACTTTCCCCTCTCCTCCTCAGGCCTTGCTAATGTGTTAACGTCTTTAGTCCAGAATTAAAAAACGTTGCTTTTTCCTGTAGGGAAAGTTTGTCATTGTCATAGCCCAGGGAAAATGTCATCTGTTCCCACTGAAGTCAATTGCTCATTTCCAGACAGTCTCTGTTTTAAGTACAGTAATAAGAGCGCGAAAGATGGACAATTCACCGCACAAGGGTGTATATCAGCTGAACTATGCAGAAAACTTGACAACCAAGAAGGCTTGAAATGTTGCCATGGTGATTTGTGTAATACAGGTGAGGCGGGAAAAGCTCAAAATCCATGCTCTAAAGAATTACAGTTTGGATGCTGTGCTCAGTACATAAAACCCTATTCAGTTTGACCTCGCGTTAGGTTGTTCTGGAACCGACTGGCAACAATAATGTTCATAATAAAGTTCAAAGCGCACTCTGGTTGGTTGATAAAGCGTGCTCGATGAGAGCTTAATACCCGGAGCTAAAGCTGTCACGTCCTGCCAATATAGTTTGTTTTACGTCTCGTGTTCGCCCTACACATCTTTTGTGCTCTTTCCGCTTCCTGAGTGCTTTACAACAGAGCAAAGCACAATCAAAGCTTCTTTATTTGTTAAGTACAGTGATGGAAGATTTTAAATTGTTTTTGGCAAATCAGCAGTGTATCAATCAAATAAAAAAATGTCTAGGATTAGAGAAGTTTAGAGATGTGATGATGTGATATGATATATAGGTTACGTCATCCCTCTGATTAATGGCCGAGTCATTATCTTGATAACTTCCATCATGTTTAGAAAAGTTTGAAAGCAGGACTAAATTGAATCAAAATCAACAGATAGATACCAAAATGATTGAAAGTTTTTGAATTGACCACCAGGGAAATATTACACTGATTTTCACTATATAGTTATCAGTATTTATTTATTTTATGACATATTTATCAATAATCTGCGACATTTAAAAAAGTTCTTAAAATGAAAATAAAAAGTCCCCGAATGCTATCCTTTCTTAAAGGGAAAAAGCATAATGTATTTATCAGTAAAAGTGACTAGGGTTAGTGATTTCGGCGCAAATTTCTAGGTCTAATTGTTCGAAATTGTTTTTCTTCTCCGTTTCAGCAATATCCTGCTATCGATGTGAAAACAGTTCATCTCTTGACGAATGCCAAAATAACCAAGACGACGTAGATTGCCCCATACCTGTTCACTACTGCGCAAAAATTAAGTATGAATCGAGAACGAGAGAGGGCAAAATACAAACGACTTATCGCAAGGGATGTGTTACCAAAGATCAGTGTAATGCGACCAGTGGAAAGATTGTAGATTGCTGCAAAGGCGACAAGTGTAATACAAGTAAGAAGAAATTATTTTTTACCTTACAAAATAGCATACTTTTCAGTCTCGTTCCCAGGGACTAATGGGACTAATGACTAATGGCGGCGGCATATTGGAAAACGAGAAGACCCTTGAGCGAGGATTTCATAGTTTGAGTCTTGTTTAAAAAGAGGCAGCCTAGCCGTTATATAGTGTAGTAAGGATGTTTAAGACTTCATTTTTGCGGGAAAAATCTCATTAAGTTGCGGGGGAATACATTTACGCCAATAACAGCTTAGACTTTTGTCTTTATATCATGAGTTAAATGCGTGGCAATCTCATTAAGATAACATGGATACCTTAGGGTGGATTAACTGGTTTGACAGGTTTTAGATTATTCTTAGGTCAAAGAATGCCTTGGTTTTTGATTGGGTAACTAAAACCTAAGAAAAGTATGCATTGGTTTGTTCATGTTATGGAAGGAGTAAGCGCTAACTGGCCTGTGACTTAATAGAGATCTTCTGAGTATTGCTCACGCGTGAACCAGCGTCATTTTGGCGGGAAAACGTGATAGCTTTCGTCATTCTACTACGAGTTTTAGCAAGAATGTCGTAGTGGCGGGAAAAAGTAATCAAATGTAAGAAGTTTTATCATTTAGCCGTCGGGATAGTGCTTAACCTCCTTCAGTATATTAAATAACCGTACTAACTTTTTTAGTGAAAAAAAGACACCTAAGAAAGCTTCATTTTGATTTTTTCATTTTGACGCACAAAAACGTTAAGTTAAATCTCGTACTCGCTCTCGTCCTCAAATCTTAAGCTCTCTAAGGTCACTGAGTCGTGACGTAATTATACAAGTTCATTTCCTGTCGCTTTCATTGTCCATTGAGAAAACAAATTGTTCCAGCTCTGGTTCACCGATTCTTGTCACGAAAATAGTGCATATTATTGAGGGCGAAGGTAAACTAGCTCTTTCTACCACGAAACGCATTTTTTCATAATTATTAGAATGTAGAATGTAGTGGTAGTGGTGACGGTGGTGGTGGAGGGAAAACAATGGAAATGTGGTGGAGGAGGTTGTGGGAAAAGAAAAAATTGAGGAGGCGCGAAATAAATGAATTGTAGAGAAGCAGGAAGTGGGGGGAGTAAACTTGGGATGGAATCCTTTGGGACCATTATCCATATGATTGATCTAAGTAACTCGTAATGATGCATCAGCGGAACCAATGAATCCACTTTGGACAGGGATTCATCGGTTGCTTTGATGCACTATGATCGGAGTGATCTCAGGTCACCGATCCTGATCCGGAACATCCCGAAAGAACGCAACCTTATGCGGTTACTTTCCTTGCAATTCTTACAATAGGCTAAGGCGAAAAAAAATTCAACTCGCCAAAAAAGGCACTTTTTCTTCATCTCAGTTAGACAGTCAGACCCTTTATAAAACATGTATTTCGTCGCTATTTTAGACACAGGTCCGCGGTGCTACGAATGTACAGATCCTGTAAAGTTTGAAGAATGCGCAGTAGGTGGGTGCATTTTCAACGATGGGAAGTGTTATTACTCTGGAGAGCAATATGGATGCATTCAACCACAATATTGCAATAAAATCGCGGAGAATGGAAACGTAATACACTGCTGTGAAGGAAGTTTATGCAATAAAAGTTAGTAAAAGAGAAGTACTATATTCTTTAGTATGCCAATGACGTGTTTTAAAAAATAATTTGCGTTTGTCATTCGCCGCTTTAGAATCGAGAAGGGAACTGGGCCGAGTTAATTTTCGCAAAGACTTCTGGGACAGTTACTGGGATTAGTAACAGTAAAATTCCCAGAAGCCTTTGCGAAAGTTAGCTCGGCCCAGTCTCCTCGTTTCTAAAGTAGTGAATTGCATTATTGCTAAGGTGTACTTACGGTGGATTGGATAACGATATGTATAACGGGCAAAAGGCTTGCTGATTCCGGGTTTTTTTTTTGGGGGGGGGGGGGGCGGGGGGAAGAGTACTCACCAAAGTTTTATACGGGGAGGCTCCGCCCCGAGGTCCAGCCGGCCTTACCCTTTTATATTCGATTTTTGACAGAAACGATAGCCCTTTCGTATACTTTCCATTGACAAATGGAAGTACCCCTTTGACATACCTAGGTTACAACTTACTTAAAATTACAGAGTCTTGTCAAACAAATATATCACTAAGCGTCATGTCAAACGTTACAAAAAACAAAACTCAACTTTGACGAACTGTTAGCGGCTTAAAATTGTAAAGCCGTTTCAGTCTTATTCAAGTTTGCCTATCCATTTCTCCTTTTGTATTTACTGTGTTATCCATATCGACAATTTTTCATGTTTTTTCAGATGTTTTGAGCGGTTTATTTTATGTTTTACTCAGTTTGGTGATGGCTCCCACTGTTTGAATTTTGATTAATTCAGTGACACAGCTCCTTTAACTATTCCTTTGTGATCAGATATTTCAATCTTTTCTTTTCTATTTCATTCCAAAATTCGGATCAATCTGGGTTTCTGGGAAACTGCCCACCTACCCCTCCCCTAAGCCATATCACTTACTTCTCACTTAGGATAAAATGTTGGCTTAGGGGTAGGGGTAGGCGGGAGCAATTCCCAGAAACCCAAATTGATCTCAAAATTTCACAGTTAACAAACCCAGGAGTAGCAAGGTGATTTACATATCTGTTGGTGCTGCCGTCTCTGTGCTGCTGTTGGGTGGTACTATTTTCATCTGGTGCTACCGGAGAAGACGAAAAAAGGAGGTTTATGGGTTTGTAAAGTTCTACGTTCTTACCGTATAAAACAGGAGCCCATAACCCGGAGCGAACAACTTCCATGCGCTTGTGTGACGGCGTTTTCACGGACCAGTTTATTTTTAGAACGGTTTTGGCGCGAATTTTGGATATCTTTTAAATTTCACAAAACCAGTCAGCAAAACCTACAGACCTAAAAATGATATTTTCTGCCTTTTAATACATTAAGTTTTTTTTTTATATCTTATACTTCGAGTGGGCTCATAGATATGGTGGAGATTTTATTTTCGCAGGAAAAGTGCCCTAAAATGTGTCCAAAAATGAACTGGTCCGTTAAAACGCCGTGACATAGGCCTAGTATGGGAGTTGCTCGCTCCGGGTTATGGGCTCCTGATAAAAACATGCTAAAATTACGACAGCTATGTTTACATAATGTAGTACCTTATTGATACTTAATTTCGAGGGTACTTGAATTCGAGATTTTGGCGAGACAGTATTTCGCGGGATTTTATTTTCGCGATTTCAATAGGCAACTATGAAAAAAGGGCGTAAATTTCGCGATTCACCAGTTCTCGACTATCTAATATAATATTTTTCAAAAAGTATCAAGTATTAAAAATTTCTAGATAATGGATTTGTACGAATCTCAGATCAAGATGATAGTTAGGTTTCCTACCGGCATATGTGAAATCCTTACAAATTTACGTAACGTTTTATAGAACTTACCTGTAAAAGCAGTTAACAATTTGGGTATGTGTCGATACATATCCTGCTGCATGTTGGTGTTACTACAAGTTAATGATTTTTCTCTGGGATTTTAGTTCGCTTGTTTAAATTTCGGGAGGATTTTTATTCGCGGGTCTTTAATTTCGCGATTTTTCTACAATCGCGAAAAACACGAAATTTAAATTTCATACCCAGAGCTCAACCTGTCTTACGCTAAACCATTGGCCGTGGGAAATCTGGGTACGAGATGAGCTGATTGCAAAAGAAAGAGTGTTTTCTTGTCTTTCTTTTTTTTTCCAGATCATATCTTTCACAGCCATCGATCAATCCCCTGGACGAGGGGGAAATTCTTCACGAACAAATAGAATTGCAAGGGTAAAAATTTTGAGAGAGTCGAGGCACACAGGAAGTTGAGTCGAACAACGGTTTGTTCCTGAGCTTCTTGGTTCTTCTAAGTTCCAAGATGTTTCAAGCTTTTTTAAGATTACAAAGTGGCAGTATTTATGCTAAACTATTAAGATAAGTAGTTTTTAAGAAAGGTCAATAGTATTCTCATGCGTAAAAATAGGTCTTAGGAGATGTTAGAACTGATTAATCTCGTACCCAGATCTCACTCTGGTTTGGTCGTGGGAGATCTGGGTACGAGATTAAGAACTGATAGAACAAAAGATACTGAATTGAGTTGAATTCAGCTGCGTGTGGAAAAAATGTGCAAAACTGAAAATATCTCTATAGCCAAATTCCTATACAGGAAAGTAAAACGATGGCTTCAAAGAAAGCAAATTTTCCTAAATTCTTTCGAAAGAAATTTTAGTTTGAAGGTAAGAAAATATGTGAATTTTAGCTGAAAATAGCCCAACTGAGAACAAAGGACTAAAAGGGTGTTTTAGGTAACGTGGCCCCAACAAGATTTTAACGAGATAAGGAGAACTGATTATGATTCAAGTTTGGAAGCGAAAGTGAGAACTAACTTCAGGTTTAAATAAACGGACTTCGTTAATCAGGAAACGCTTGTTTTCCCATTCCACAGCTGAATACATCTACAAATAATAATAATTTATTACATTTAATATAGCGCTTTAGCTATTAAAATATTGTAAAGCGCTTTACAATATGTACAAGAAAATAAATATATATAAACAATAGATGGACGGAAATAATAAGAATACAAAATTACAAATTAAAAGCTTTCTTAAAAAGATAAGTCTTCAACTGTACTTTAAAGGAGTCAATGTTCATACAGTTTCTAAGGCTAGATGGCAGAAATAATAATAGTAATAAGAATATAGAATTACAAATTAAAAGCTTTCTTAAAAAGATAAGTCTTCAACTGTACTTTAAAAGAGTCAATGTTCCTACAGTTTCTAAGCTTAGATGGCAAAGCATTCCATACTGTTGGTCCAGCATGGAAAAAGGCTCGATCGCCAAACGTCTTCCGTGTCACCTTAGGGATTACAAGCAATGTTTCAGAATCAGACCGCAGGCTGTATCTAGTTCTAGGCTTTACAACAAGTAGTTCAGATTAATATTGTGGC